TACTCATGACGATTAACACATTAATAATAATTAATCATTTGAATTATTTTCTCTACACTTTTTATTACATTTTCGAATTTATAACTTTGAAATGTATTAGTTTCAAAGTTAAGTTTTATTAATTATTAAGAATTTTTATTCTTTGTATTCAATGATTATATCATAACTTTTATGAAATGCATTTTGCATACAATGTCATCAATATGTTCAAATAAGTTTCAACAAATAATTTACAACAAATATTATTATTACACAAATAAATAAATACGTATGACTTACTCATGACGATTAACACATTAATAATAATTAATCATTTGAATTATTATCTCTACACATTTTATTACATTTTCGAAATTTTTTCAAATGAATAATAATCGTTCAATGCTAAAGTTAGGTGTTTAGAAAAAAATCACGTTTAACAGGAAACGTTCATTTATCTATACGCGTTACGTTATCAAAGATATTTGTTTGAATGGGAGGTTTTTTCGGTAAGAAAAAAAACCTCCCTCTCCCTTCCCGAAAAAAAAACAAGAAAAAAAAAGAAGAAGAAGAAGAAGAAGATAAGAAAATTGAAGGTAGTAAAGTTAGTGGGGGTGGTAGGTTCGGTTAACGTGCCAAGGCCGTTTCGTAAGAGTTACTGGCGACGCTAATATCTGTAATACCAAGCTCACGATCGTACTACCATTTTGAAAGCTCTACCGAAAGCTGCTGCCACGGGCATCCCTACTGGAATTCATCCAACGGATATACCCTTAGCGTGTATCCACCCTTCCTTATTTTTTTTCTCCCCTTTTCTTTCTTTTTTTTTTTTACTTTTTATTCTCTCCTTTTTTTTTCATTCTTCTTCGTATGTTTTAGGCTTGACGTTAAATAAGTCTCTCGATTCTAATCAGATTTATGATCTACCAAAAAAAAAAAAAATAAAACCTATCATCACTCGTATATAAGTATGTCAAATATAAACGTATTTTATTAATAAAAATAATTATTCTGACGTTACACAGTTTTTTCATACATTTTGTTGTTTGTTTGTTTGTTTTTCGTTCAATATTTTTTAATACGTGATCAGTGTGTGCATATATTTATAATTCGTATCTCTCTTTCTTGAAAATATTGCAATTTGGATAATTGTAGCATATTTTCTTTGTTTTTGTTTTTTTTTTCTTTTTTTAAATATTTTTAATCTGATCAGAGAGAAACGTAAAACAATAACTATAATGGATTACGTTCAACGTGATTTTTTTTTCCCCCCCGATAATTTTCGATCTTTGTATAATCGTTGGAGTAATATAAAATAATTTGTAATTTATGTAATAATTTGTTTTATTGAATAATTTTAATCTGATGAGAAGAAGAAAGAAAACAAAAATGGAAAAAGGTTAATGGACATGAAAGGTATTTTTCCTCCAATAATTCAAATCTTTGGAAAATCAACGCATAAAAGATTTATAATACGTGCAATAATAATAATAATAATAATAATAATAATATTTTAAAAATATGCATTTATAATATGATTATATAAAGTAATGTGCATATAAAGTGCATTCAACGGATAAAATAGATAGAAATCTTTGAAAACAAACAGAGATTAATGTATCTTCATTTTATTTCATATTCTCTTAACAAACATACATGCACACATACGTAACAGATTATTTATTATTTATGTAACAATGTTAATTGAAATATATTCCGATATTACTGAAATAACGTAGGAAATATAATATACAATGAAACGAATTCAAATATATCTGATAAATTGATTAATATAACTTTTTTCTTTTTTTGTTTTTTATTATTTAAATTTTTCTTAACAAATGATATTCATATTTTAGAATTTGTACAAATAAATATAATAATATATTGCAAAAATATTAACGTCTATAGGAATTGTAAATAATTTCAAAATAAAAAACAGAAAAAATTTTCGTTGAAATTTTCAGATTAATTCGTATAATAATAGAAATTATTTCATATTTTACGTAATAATAATATTATTAATAATAAATTTCGTATCTGTAAGGAAAATAATGATTTCGTAATATGTATATAAATATAAGTAAAATATTGATTAAATATTTAAAGTGGAAAGACGCTTGAGAAAAAACGCTTGACAATTTTCGTGGTTTTTTCTTTTTTCTTTTCATTTGATTATTTTTTTTTTACCATTTCTCGAACTTTCAACGATCATAAAGTTCGCTGGCTCTGCTTTCTCGCGAATATTTTATGACTTCGTAGCTTGGAATGATTTCATCGAATCGTTTCTTTTACCCCCTTCCCCCCCCACTCCCCCTCCTTTACCCACCACAACTCTTTTTTTCTTTTTCTTTTTTATTACGCGGAAAAAAAAGATAGGGGTAATATTAAACTATCTTTGGATTAAGTATAGAATATAATATATTTTGTTTTCTATTGAAGAAACCCGTGGCTCCCCCTACCCCTTAAATATTTGCATATCCTCGTCGTAATGTTTAGAATAAAAAAAATTTTTCTCGATAATAAATCGTAGAATTTTGGTTAATTGTTTCTTCTCGTTTTCTTTTGTGCATACGCGTGTGTGTGTGTGTAT